CAGCCATGGAAGGCTGACCCATCAGCCTGCTGCTGACAAACGCCGTCCCCATCCAGAGGAACAGCAGTAGGCTAGCCTACCAGGGGTCGGACCATCGCATCTGCCCCTTCCTCGTTTTCGCAATCGGATCAGAAGATGGACACCTTGATCGTTCGCAAACAATGGCTTCGCTGCAAACTTCCTTACTGGCATCAAGCTGTGCAGGATGGTCAGAGGGAGGTCCTCAAACTCAGCGTGGATTCGTTAAACTCTCTCGGGACCCACTGCAATGACAACGCTGCACCGACACTGTCCAGTTGCACCGCGAGCTCCATCAAAACGTTCAAGGGGTAACTTGTAGACATATATTTGTCTACTACAAACTTGTTTCCTTGGTTGTCTGTCGCCCCCTGGATCTGTACCAGTCCAACACACCCGCGCCAAGGCGCGTCGGGGCCAAACAAACAAATTGCGCATAACGCTGCAGCAAGTTCCAATGCGGCTATGCATCTGAAAGCCTCCCCTTTCGCAAAGCGCCTCGGGTCAACCTGATGCTAAACCATCTGGCCAGGGGTGGTGGGGTTTTGTTGTAGCTCTCCCATCCACCGACCACTACCCAGTCGCCCTGCGCTTTGGGACCTATCCGGAAGACATCGCTGACTGTGTGTGGCAGAGCCCTTGCTAGGATCATAGGTGCACGCTTCACTTCCCCCATGAAGAAACGCTGTAACAATCTGATTCCAGCTGGCATCTTCACCACAGCATCTGCTGGCAATTTTGCTACCCAGGCAAAGAGCGGTCCAAGAAACGGTCGCGCATGCGGCAGTGCGCCGGCAGCATATGAAAATCTACCCAGCGCTGATCGCATCCGCACGCTGCTCACTTTCCCTGCCTCCAGACAGCCAATGATCCACCTGATCAACCACTCCACCCTATACATCCAGCTGATAGCCAATCCAGACCAGCTTCACACCGCCCGCAACTTTCTTCCAGCTGAGAGGAACCTCCAGCAGCTCTAACACATAGAGCCAGAACAGCTGCTTCTGCCAAAAGTTTTCCCCATGCGCCAGAAGTAATCCATCATCAGCAAAAAGCAAATGAAACAACGCGGCCGCTTCGTGCAATAGGTAATGACCCAGCCTGACCACTGCCGCCGCCACACGCTGCCAATGATATTGCCGCTGAGGCTAGCCCGAACGCTCCCACTGTATGCAGGTAGATGACATCAGGATTGTCTAAAGAAAACGCCTGATATCCCCAATCTTGTCGCCGCACCGGCACCAGTTTGTGCGCATGGGCAACATCTATTTGAGCGCAAACCGAGGACCTGGACAGTGTTCTTGGCCGTCCCGCATTTCTCGCAACACAGCTTCAAGGTCATCAATTGTTGGAAACCTTAACCTGTCTTGCACTCTGATGCGATTGTTCACTTCAACCTTATGCGTCGCATCGTGGATAATCCTCACAGCAGCAGATCCCACTTCCTTGGGCACAGCTCCCACGGACGCGACTGCCAGGTGACTTCCAAATTTCTGCTCTGCTTCCTTGCGACTCATGGCCACCACGGCGCCTCGCTCAAGTTCTTCATTTATCTGACGCTTGATGTCTGCCATGTTCTCTTGCGCTGATTTGTAGTTTTCACAGGTGACGCTCTCGAACTCCTTCTCGATGTATGGCAGAGACCACTTTGTCTTTTGCTCAAAGACTTTGAAAACCCTTGCTAAAGCTGTGTCGATACCGAGGCGCACGCCTTCTGCTGCATGCATCCAGAAAGGCGCAATCCGGATCTTCGGCCAGTTGCAGAAAGGCATGCAGGGGGCGATAGTCGATCTCAGTTGAGCGATCGCCTTCCTGCCTGCATGGGTTCACACCTGGCTCTTTCAACTTTGCATCTATCAATTCTCGCTCTGCCCGCATATGCTCAAGCCCAAAGGGAGATTCTGCAGCATTGCCCCCAGCCAGCTGCCAAAATGCTGCCCGCGCGTCTGTTGCACGCAGCCAGCGCAGAAAATTTCACTTGCAAGCGTATTTTGTTGAAACCGATTGATTCTGGATACTCTTTTCCAGCGCCCACCTGCCTGGAGAACAAAGTCCTCCACCATCACGCAAAGGCCTGTACTTTCCTTTGTATGAAATTTGCATTGGTGCTCCATGCCCCCAGAATCCAGCCACTTCAAAGTTGCCACCTTCCTGTTCAGCAGCACCACTTTCCTGCTCAGCAGCCCTTTGCAGCACGTCGCCCCCACTGAAAGGCTGCGGGGCTGCCGGAAGCACAGGATCTCGTCACTCCCCAGCGCGATCCTCCATTCCAGCGCGCTTGTGCTTGCACTGGTGGTAGGCGTGCTTGCCAAAGCAACGCTGGCAAATGTGAGCAAACTTGCACCCATTCGTTTTGCAGCCTCCGATCTTGTTGAACTTGAAGCAATTGCGCGTCCCGTCCGGCCTAGCCACAGCTTTGCCCCACTGCCGACCCCAAGCTCCCAACTGCGAACCTTTGCCCTTGCCCTCGCCTTTGCCACTGACATCGCCAGCAGCTGTCTCAAACTTGCCCAAGCTAAAAGGACTCACAAAATGAGTGGTCAAGGCCTCAGCAGTAGCCAAACACGGCGCTTCCCCATCTCGCACACACCTGCAGAACCAAGCGCCATGTAGGAGTGCGCCCGTCGGCGGATGTGAGACCAGCCACAGAGCTGCCGAGCACAAAGTCTGAGAGCTTCCGGAAGGCCTCGACCGAGGAATCCGGCAGCCAAGTTCTAGTGGAATGCCGCGACTTGACAAAGTCCCATGCCAGGCCCAGCCGCCTGTGCCGCAATCGCAGCGCCTCAGGCCTGGAAGGCACCGT